CGGAATTGCCCGCTCCTTCACCTTCTCGTCCTTGATGCTGGCTCTCTGCAATGACCGCCTCAGTGTGAAAGAAATGACAGAAATGTGACATGAAATGGCATGAAATGAATTTTCGATCGCAAAGTCGGTGTGGCCTTGACTGCATCAAGCAGTCTGTCCAAAAACATGTTTTTTGATAGCTGCCGAAAAATGTGATTCTTCGAGCAGGTTGCCCACTTGGGTGCTTTCACCCTGGGTTGACATGGGTATGGACGGTATGGATCATGTCATCCATTTAGCCTGATGAAAACCAAAAGACCATGTGGAATAGCCACTTCCACCAACGGTGCGGTGCAATGAGCTTCGACTCAGTGCCTCATCATAATCCCCATCTGGTGCACTCCGGAGAGTCCTGTCCTGGGAAAATATCGTGATTAATTTTTGGGGTCCTGACCTTTTTAAGATTAAAATCCTGGTGCTTGACCTTACTTGCCGGAATTTATAGTCTCAGACGAATAAAACTTGCAGCCAATAATTTCCTGATGCTTAAGGTTTCCAGAAAGGCATTTCTCCCCCTCTAATATCAATTAAATTCCTGGGTGCCAACCCTTATATAAAGCTGAAATCCTGGTTCCCAACCTTTTAGAGTCATGTAAAGAACCATACCCCCTCAAATAATCATGGGGCATTTTTTTCCTGGGGTTTGACGTACATATATGTTCCAGTGAACTCCCCCCCCATGAACATTACTTTCCTGTGGCCGGACGTTTCCAAAATAATCTTGAAATATTTTCGACATATTTTGAACCAAAATTGTTTTCCTGGGTTCGAAGGGACGCAGGGTTTTGTATGTGCAAATCGGATCAAATCGGTGATTTCAAAATTATTTTTGGGTACTGGACTCCCAGGAAAATAATCTGCATCACCAGATGGTGGTCATCATATTTGACCAGCAACACCAATGGCTGGGTCCACCGGCAACACGCTGGTATCGTCTCCAATCATCACAGGTCCTGACAGTTCACAGACCCTGACTTTACGAAAGGCCATGAGAATCCAGAATCCTCACAAGGACCTTCAAAACAAAAAAGGAACTGGGTCCATTTTCCGCAAAAGACGTCACTAACCACTTGATGATCGAGGGCTATCTAGCTCCAGGGATCAAACCAGCAGATCAATCGTTGCTTGATTAAAAAAGACTTGGCCAGCTGTAAGGTTTGAGCTCCCCTTGCACTTAAGATTAAAATGTATGTCATTTGGTCAAGGTATACGGAGTACAAACCCCAACTGACATACAACCGGCTCTTGGCCATCGGAGTCGGAGGAGGCGAAACACCTCAACTGAGGATCCCCCTACCTTGCTGTTGATTGCCCACTCATCCAGGAAATGAATGAGACTAAGCGTCATGAAAGTTGGCTGCTGGAAAAAACATAACAATAATCAAGACGATTCACACGATGAATCCAGATAGTTGTTCTTCCTGTGATGCCATTGCTTGACTTTAGCAGCGCATCTGTTGATTCCACCACATGATGCAGAACAACAATCAGAGAATGTGGCTTCATGCCAAAGGGTTACATCTGTGCCACCATCCTCGGTTGCCTTGCATCTCCTCCCCATACTATATACATCTATATATTGTTGACTCAAAAATGTCACCTGCTTTGGGGCTAAAAAAAACGCCATTCAGCCACTTCCAGGTGTTAATCAAAACGCTCTGAAGCTTTCGGGAATAGTATGTTCCAATACATTTAAATACATTCAAATAATATGTTCAATGCACAACCACCTACCAATACTCATCGGACATGAAGGCCATCCAGCTGTGGGTCACCTCTATTGGTGAAGGTCCACAAAATGAATGGGGTTGATCAGGATTGATTCCAGAAACTTGGATTTGCACTGTTATATCCCTTACCAACTTGGGTCAAGACATATTAACCGACTTTGATTTTGTTTTGGATAACTGCACTTCAACATTCACAGGTGCTTTATGTCCAAAGGATGACGATGTTGTTGGCTTCTCCCTGCTCTCAAACTGTGCTGGTCAATTGGGGAATCATGACCCTGTAGGTAGGGATGGACAGCAAGAAGTGTTCGAAACGACCAACCACTACTACACCAGGTACATGTAAATGTATATTGTTGTACATATGAATATGTAGTGTATATATATATATATATGCATACCCATTTTGTGAAAATAATCAGCAGTTGTTTCATGCTTTTTGTGAACCTCAATCCAAGGTGAACGATGACTCCACCTCCCAAGACCCGCAAGGACCTCGCGGATCCTTCTTCGAAGGTTCTCTTTGCCACAGATCATGGACCTCACGTGTCATGGTCAACTGGTGCTCAACGGGGGTCGCAACACACAGATGCCCAACCAATTAGACAGATTTGACCAGTCTTCAACCTTCAGTGGTTTCGGTATGTTTCGGTTTCATTGAAAGGAAAAAACAGATTGACTGTATCAGTTTCAGCCCCGCTTAAGGTTCAAAATTGCAACTGGGTGGTTTCGCTGCCCTTCCAGAAGCAGCTCATGGTCCCCGGTGAGACTCCCGGCGTCGAGGAAGTTGGAAGCAAAACCTCAGTTATCAAATGAGACAACTAGGACAACCACCAAACTGGATGGCACCTCAAATAAAGCTGCTACACCTCCTATACGGATTGCATATACATAACCCAGAAAAACGGAGAGATGCCGCAACCATTGCAGTAAACTCCTGGTACCTGGGTGCAACTCATCGCAGTGGGTTCCACCTCTGCGCACTTTTATAAATCCATCCCCATCTGCGTATCAATTTGCAGGCAGTATTTGCACCAAAACAGTCAGCCCTGGGGTTGAACTACTATTGCTCAAGTCCCGGATCATTTCAGGCCATTGGAAACACAGCAGACTGCCTGAGTTCCCCAGCAGCTGGGATAGTCTGCCAGCTGTTCTCCCAGGTGAACCTGTGGTTTTTCTATGGCACCGCCCTGGTCTAGGGCAAACTGCCATGGGGGTGATCATTTCATCCTGGCTTCCCGTTGAAAGAAAAGATGCATGGTACGTATTCTGTATAATATTCATATTAATATTTATATATATATATATATACTTAGTAGTATATCCATGATGTACATACCGTGTTACATACTGTTATAGGACTGTCCCGGGATATGGCCATGTTGGGCTTGTTTACTTGTTCTCCCTCCCCAGCTGCTGGTGGCTGAACTCAAACAGTCCTGTGCATCTGGCAGCTTTTGTAGATCCCAAATGAATGGTTGAAATGTAAAAACAAAATAACACTGTAAAGATGGGATGCCAATTTTTGACCACCAAATGTTGATGTCCTCCGGCCTTGCAAATCCTTGGTGCTGCTGGAAGCTGCTAGCATAGGGGATTAACGGTTGGCAATCATGAAATGATGAGATGGTTGTTTCCAAATCCATAAACAGCTATACTCAATCATGCTTGAAAAGTACTATATAATGGGCAACTTGTCATAAATCTATGGCTGCACCTGCTCTCCGCAATGGCATGAAACAATTCATCCAATCCTGGTGGCTATCTGCGGCACTCTAAAGGGTCAACCTGCTGGAACCAAGGCCAGACTTCACAGCATCGAATTCTCGGGTCCCAAAATGTAGGTATCATAGAGTCATCAAGTCTCTCCTAACCCAGATGCTCCATGGTGCTGGAATGTTTACCTACATTTGGGTCATTTATGGGGTAAATGTTGGTAAATATTCCATACATGGAGCATATGGGTTAGGATGGCATCTGGAAATCGTCCCAAACTACTGACACTAACATTGCCAGAAAACGTCAGACGATTTTCTTTTCCTACAAGTAGGGGCCATTGACAAGGGGATGGGTCCAAAGTCAAAACCCCCCCACCACATGTTTGGGGAATGTTCCGTCAAAAACTATTCAAGTTGGCGCTCTAAGTTCCCACCTTGCTGATGACAGTACATTAAATATAATCATCCAGTTGCATGTGTATGATATATATATATATATATACAGTATACAGATTGTTGCGTGAATACATCACATAAATAAGCATGTATATATAAATATATTGTTTAACTAATGTGCATATAAAATCATATAAATATATAATATCATACCTATATACATGATTATACATGCAAACATCTTTCTGCGCGGTTTTTGCCCCAAAGGCTGTTGGTTAAAACCCTCACTGAGGGCCCGTGCAACACCACCCCACGACGGCCAGCCACGCGCTGCCCTACCTGTTATTCCCGGCATCGGGTGGGAGGGTTGCACTGTGTGTGTTTTGATATGACTATTCCTTCATTTGTGGCTAGACAATGCTAGACATTCACCCGGTAAGCTACCAAACTCAGGTTTACCCAACTAATTTCTGTTGAACATAGTGCTGGGTTGTTTATCAATGTTTGAGAACAGTTTTTTTGGGGGGCGCGCCACCAATGGGAACATGACATCACCGACAACATGGCATCCGCCGGGTAAGTTGTTCAATAGATTCGAGTGCCATCCAACAGAAAACCTACCATGGGATTGAGGTGTGAAAGTGAGGGGGGTCCAGGTAACTGTCACTATTCATTTGTACGTATTCCATTTATGCCGAGTAGAAACGTAATGAAACGTATCAGTTCCAGGCTAACCCGGTGCCATCTGCCTTGATCATTCCCCACCTCCCCGCTGTTCAATCACAGCAGAGGAAGGGAATTCAAAATTCACAATAGTTTCAAATTTACAATAGTTTCAAATCATTTCTGGGCTCAACATGGCTCAACATTGTTTTGTGTTCCATATGTTCCATGAATTCAAGCAAGTCTAGGTTGACTTTCGTTTGCATCTCAAATTCTTGCACTCAAAAAATAACATCGCCATGGCCCCAAAATGGATATGGATGGACCCGCAATAAAAAAGAATCGAACCACGGTCAGTGTGTATTTTTCACAATCCGATTTTAAAATATATTTTGGGGCACTAGATGGAAACACCGTCAACCACTGCTGCCCAAAAAATGGATAAAAATGGCCCCTACTTCAGCGCCTCGTTGGGTCTGGCCCGAGACATCGAGCGCCCCAGCGCCTGCCCAGGATGGGACCAAATGTTGATCTATGGTGACCCCTGAGAAAACGACATGTTAGTACCAAGTTGCTAAAACCATGCAGTTTGCTTGTTTTTCAATTTTCTGGGGTAGTTACAGAATGTCACAAACATTGGACATTGAATTGGCCCATGTATGCCCATGTCCATTTTCATCCAGCTGAATGGAAATCCTCATGCAGCTTGAACGTGCCTGGCCCATCTCTGTGTTGGAGTTGTAGAGTAGCCGACCGGCCTCACGAACCGAGCCCCAGGATGATTTCTGGAGCTGGTTTTCTTGGGTCGAAAATGTGCCATGGCTTGCAATGCTTCATGACCTCCTAACTTGCGGGTCATGATTTGGAGCTGCCACATGAACTAGTTGCAAGAATCATGTAGATGATGGATCATGATGTCTAATTGACCTAGTCCCCTCTGCTTGCAGAATAGGCATTGCTCCATTGTTGCCAATGATGTTGTCGCCAGCTCTGGCGGCGGATTAGAGCATCAAAGCCTAGTATACAAGTGAATGGTAAAGATCCACATAGGATAGTTGGTGAATGAATGTGAATCTCCCCAAATATGGCAAGTTGGCTTTCTGCCTGCAATTGGGGCTCATGAGATCCAGGGAAGTGACGCAAAGTAGAAACTGCTTGACACCAGAACTAAGGGAAATCAGAAAGAAGGGAAATCTGCAACAAAAAAAAGGGAAACCTGACAACGTGGTAGGAAACAGAAAAGGAGGGAATCAAGAAATAAGTGGGAACCAGAACCAACATGAATTAACAGCATACCCCAACATCGCTGTCCTTGCAACAAATTGGCCAGCCTCCGCTAGGGCTAAGGAGTTGGTCAGCAGCACAGGCGAGTCTGCAGAATGGGCGGCTCTTGATTTGGAGTAAAACCTTTCAATCCTGGGGACTTCACCTTGGGAAGTTCTCAAAGATGGATGGAGTGTCGCAGCTTGCCATTCGGTCTGTAAAAGGTGACAAATTCAAGCTCAGACCACCGGAATGGGAATCCCGGTGTCAGAAATTGTCCAATCAAGGGTCGGTATGTTCAGAATTCAGAAAGGATTACATGAATTACATGATTTAAATGCGTTCGCAGAAGAAGAATCAAAGTGTACTCCCTGGAAATTTCATGTTGGTGGAACGCTTCCCAGTACTTTTTCAGGCATATCCTGCAAATCAGGGATATTCGCGAAGCATCTATCTGATGATCTCTCCACAGACTGATCATCGTTATCCCACCTGTGGCGGAGACTTTCCTCCAAGGACCTTGATGCATGGCTGGATGGGGTTGAAGTGCTTGAAGTTGGAGAGTTCTATGCGTGGGGTTGTAAAAAAAATGACTACACAGTCTGGTTTTTTTTCCCCACCTGCCAGGCGAGGGTTGTTAGATTTTATGTCAGTTGCTTCCTCCTCGTCCTCCTCCTCCTCCTCTCCTCTCTTCTCCTCTCCTCTCCTCGTCTCCTCTCCTCGTCTCCTCTCCTCCTGCTCCCTGCCGGACTTCAACCACGACCATCCACGCCCAGTGTGCCCTGCCGGACCTCAACCACGACCATCCCCGCCCAGTGTTCCCTGCCGGACCTCAACCACGACCATCCACGCCCAGTGTTCCCTGCCGGGCCTCAACCGCGAGTATCCACGCCAAGTGTTCCCTGCCGGACCTCATGTAGGAAGATATGGGACAAAGAATGTGCAGAAGAAAGTTAGAAAGAATGTCAGAAAGAATGTCAGAAGATATGCCAGAAGATATGCCAGAAGATATGCCAGATAGAATGCCAGATAATATGCCAGAAGATATGCCAGATAGAATGCCAGATAGAATGCCAGAATATTTGCCAGATAGAATGCCCAATAATTGCCAGACTAGAAGATAATCTGCCGAGAGAATGCAAGATTCGAATGCCAGAAGATTTTGCCAGATAGAATGCCAGAAAATTCTGCCCGAAGATATGCAGATAGATCTGCAAGATGATATGCCAGAAGATTCCTTAAGATATGCAGGAATTTTATGCAGAAGATATGTTCAGGATTTGTAGATGCAGAAAGATATGCCAGAATATTATGCCAGAAGATATGGCCATGATTAGAATGCCAGATTTGAAGCTCAGAAGATATGTCAGATAGAATGCCAGAAGATATGCCAGATAGAATGCCAGAAGATTTGCCAGATAGAATGCCAGAAGATATGCCAGAAGAGATGCCAGATCATATGCCAGAAGATATGCCAGATAGAATGCCAAATAGAATGTCAGAAGATATGTCAGATAGAATGCCAGAAGATTTGCCAGTAAGAAAATGTATAAATGTCATGGTGGGGATCACACGAAGTAAAGTAATTTTAAACATGTGTATTATATTACATGAACTGAGTAGTGGGATGGACGTCATTTGTGCAAAGATGTTTTAAATAAAAAGTCACTCCTCATGGCTTGTTTTAATGGAAGTGAATAAAGGACAGTTGCTTCCCTATATATATATGTGTTTTTCCAGTTTCCCCTTTCCTGCAATGCATGAAGCACGAAGAACAAATCCCTCCTCAAAAGGTATGTGCACCCTCATAGAACATTGCTGATGAAGTGTGCATGGTTGATAAGAAATACATAATGTCAGCCTATGTCTCTATGTCTCCCTCGTCTTCGTTTGAACACAGTGAGGGTTGCACCAGATGGTCCCTCCTGGCACCGGGTGACATCTTGCACAGGAAATGAGTGACCGGGGTCTCCATTTTCCATTGCAATTTCTAAAAGAAAACCCCCCAATTCCCCCCTTCCAAAAAAAGAATCGTTGGGAAGATGTATGTCCAAGTCGCGAACGGCCCATTTTCATCCATTTTCCAGGTCCAGTCCTCCAGTTCAATGCCAATCTCATCCAGCTCCTGCAAGTGTCCCCATGGGATCCCCAGGTCAAGACTGTCCTAAAATGGCATGGTCCAATGGTTACATGGTTTGCACTTCTGGACTTCAAAGATGGACTGCTTCAAGCCACGAATGACGGGAATGATTAGTTTTTGCAGATCTTAAAGTTCCAGGCACCGCCATCTCACATTGTGGTTTGCTGGCGCATTCCACCACGAATCAAGCGTGGTGCCCATGACAGAATATGATGTTTGCTCAATGTCAATCTCTGATGACTAAATTCTGATTGATTCATAAGGGGGGTTACCCCCTTATGAATTTCAAAAAGTGGATTATCACTTAAATCAAATTATTGGATATATGATATGATATGTTGGATAGATAGTTTTTAAAATTGATATTCAGGGTAGTTGGTGGTTTTGCTGATCCCCCAACAGTCCCACCTCGGCAGAACAGGTCTTGGAGAACTTTCTGTGTTTGAGCCGCTCGGAGATTTGGGGGCCAGCCTGCACAGCTTGGCCGTGGGTGTCCCCGGTGTCCCCTGAAAATTGGAAGCAATCTGTAGCCTCTGGTTATTTAACATAGCCATGGAAAATCACAACCATAAATGGAGGTTTTAATTTTTAATGGGAAAATCATCTATTTCTATGGGCCATTTATTCCATGGCTATGTTAGCCATAACCAGAGGGTACATCCCCGGTGCCCTTTTGTGTGGTCTGCCTGTGCCACCTCTTGCAATTCCTCCAAGGCATTCCTGGCCAACCCAGCCACTGGCAGCCAGGCACAGATATATTTTGCTCATTTTTGGGAGTACCCTCTGGTAAATTAACATAGCTATAGAAAATGACCATTTATAGTGGATTTTCCCATCAAAAATGGTGATTTCTCATAGTTATGTTAGTTTACCAGAGGGTAATGAATGATGTACCTGTGAACTGTGAATGGTTTTTAGGTTTTTAGGGACAAGCAATTTTGTTTGATCTTCCACTTCCAGGGCTTCATTCCGAATCAGGGTCCATCAGTTCCATCTACCTATCATCATCAATTCAATAGCCATACCTCTGTGCCTATGTGGATAGACCACAGATTTTTAATTTCCAGATGAAGTTAGCCAGGGCACACCTGGAGATGTGTCCCATTTGTCCCATGGACCTGGTGGGATTGAAAATATCGATTGTCCAGACACATCTCATATCAACATGGGTGTGTGTCAAAACCTTGTACCCCTGTAGTTCACATCAAAATAGCTGGGATTTATGGATGTTCATCCCCCTGAAAATGGTATTAATAGGTATTGATTCATACCCATATCCAAAAATGCCGTGTCAGTTCCAGTCAGTCCCACCTCGATTGCGGCACGTAGAAAAGATACTCAAAGGCCGCAGACGTGTCTGAACCTTGAGGCCATCGCCCGATGAGGGAATCACTTCATGCTTCGGCCGGAAAATCCGGCTGTGGTTGGGAAAAAATGTCCAAATGCTCCGGAAAGGCCAAAGTGGATGATACTTGAGATTGGCAAAACGGTTCCCAAGTGTGGGAGGCCCCATTTTGGGTTGTGTTCCAGGGCCCACCTCACCACCCTGTCGAAACATCCAAGTACACCGATTGGAGGCCATTGGTAGGCACCGATTTGTTCGTGGTAGCATCCATCCTGGCAACCTTGGGCCAAACCAACCTTCATCTAAAGCTGCTATACCGCTGCTGTCCTCCGAAATCAGATTTCGATTCAATGCCATCTAGCCTCAACTGTTGCCATTGCTTCGTTGGCTTATCACAGATCACCAAGTATCACCAAACTAAATTGGCTAAATTCACTTTATTTTGGTGTGGTTCTGCCAAAATCAATCGTGGCGAGTTTGTTTTTGACATCCTCCTATACCCAGATGAGCATCCCGGCAGTCCATCAATTGCTCAAAGCGCAGCTGCAAACTCCGATGATGGAGCCTTTTTTGGCTGAGGTTGAGAACCTATGTTTGGTAGGTTGAGCCACCAAAATGGGGAATGTTAGCCCACCAAACATTGGAATTGAGCAAACACTTAACAAAAGTAACATCACGGATGTGGAAAACCAATCTTGCACTACACACCAGAGAAGCACCATTTTTTGGGATGGTCTAACTCCTTTCCAGTGAGGTATCCACCGAAATGGGAGCAAACCTATTACCAAGATAATTAAAGGATAATTAGGTGACATCCAATACATACATGATGTGGGATCAATTTTCATAAAGGTTTCAATCTCAGGATTCATGGAGTTCAGTATAAAGCCTTGGTCAGTACAATCCCTGTATAAAAATATGATGTTCTTAGTATTTCTTGGTGGAAATGTGGATTTACCATTGCCAGGTTTCGATCAGTTTCGATCCCTGTAGAGCTCCTTGTCACTTGTCCGATCTTGATCCGGTTGAAGCCGAACAAGGAAAAGTCTTCAGGCCTGTAGAGCTGCACAAAAATCGGGGGAATGAGCCGGTTGCGAGTTTCAAATAAATACTTTCAACTCATCCCATTATACGTGGACTTAACAAATAGAAAATAGAATAAAAAGATATAAAGAATGCAACTTCTGAAGATACCAAGCTATCCGAAATACTTCTTAACTCAGAGGTGGCCCCATCAGCATCCTTGCAGGCCATGACTGGTTATCTACAACCCCCCCAAAATTCTACTCATGGGTTTGTCTGAAAATAAGGTATATTCCCAATGAAATAGCCATTTAATAGGGATAATGATCAGCAAAACCATTGGGTTTAGGGGTACACTATTTTCAGACACACCCTCATCTGCCAAATCCAAGTCCAAAAAAACACAACGTCCTCCAACCCCTGGCCTGAAACGGCTGGTGACCAACCCCGCCACCTGCGAGATGTCGTCCACCTTCTCAAAGCGCACCTGGGTGATCCCCAATGGCCCAAAACCCATTGGATCTGGTTGCTTCATGGGCCATGGATGACATCAAGATATGTGTGTATATACATAATATGTGTATGTATACCTATGTATATATAATATATATTATATATATATAATAATAATAATAATAATAATAATAATAATAATAATAATAATAAGATACCCATCATTGCCACGGGTTAAACGCCACTTTTGTATAATTTCATTAGCCACCAGGGTCAACGATTCCCATTAGACCAGTAGGTCCGGGGCGAATGGCTGTAATATCAGTGTGGATGATACCAACAATTTATGATTATCATGCCAGACACCTCCTACTGGTTGCTTGATGGGGTTCCCACTTTATGTACTGATCTTATCCATTGAACTCACTGAGCCAGCTAGTACAACCCCGTTTCTTTGCCATCAAGGCCCTGCATGTTCGTGGTGTTCAATTCCAATGGTAGGGTGGAGGAGTTCCAAGCCAATAATATCTAGGAGTCAACGTTCACATGACAATACGTGTGACTGGGTGTTAGCGAACCAACCCAGATACTTTGGGTGATTTTGAGTGACCCTCTTTAGAAAGTGGCAGTTGGAAGGCAAATGGTTCAAGTCAGCCATGTGCCAATACGTCGAGGGTTGGTGAAAATCATCCAGATACATTCCAACAATCTATGGATGTCATGATGTGCTGGAACAAGGTCAACATCAGATACCACTTCAGAAAGTCAAAACTTTCAGCAGCACATCAGCTACCATGGTAAGATACGATCAAACTAAGAATGGCCAACAATCAACCCAGTCGCAAGGGTTTATCAGGGAGGAATTCATTTGTGTTGGCTCTCAACAAAAATGATAAAAATGGAGATACATAATAGCTCATATATGCTCGTATAATCATATCTAATCAATCTATGAGCAAACCAACCCTTCACCAGCTGTTTACCCAACCTCAAACCTCGGGAACTGCTGAGGTCACCCACATTTCCGCCACTCCGAAGCTCCAGTAGCAGCCGACTGCAACAACCGCTTCAACGTGGTGCCATGAATGATGTGGAGAAGATACCCCAAGGCTGTCAAAAGGATAGAAGAGTATAAAAGTCCCTATGTTCATGGTCCATGCTTCATCTTTTTTTTGGGGCAGAATTGCAAATCAATCTCACAAAACCAGTAAGAAATGGGCATGCAATGGAGGAAATACCATGGTACCATCGCAGGTGGTCCCCACCATGTGGCAGCTTTGTCCAAATCAACTGTGTACCCCCATTTTTTTCAAAAGCTAATCATAGCCAATCATCACATTCCCCAATAACATTAATGTAATGTTCAATGACAACATGAATCCGAAAAATCACATCATCTGTTTTTTCATTATGCCAGGTTACCTCCATCTGGTTACCCTGGTTACCCCCATAGCTTTGTTGGTGAAACTCCCCCAACTCCAGAAGGACCTGATGTGTGCATCCAAGGTCTGCTGCACCGACTGCTGAAGCTGCTGAAAGGCGAAGTCCGCATCGGCCAGCTCCACCTCCACGGGAACTCGCTGATGCTTTCGCTGATGGTTTCAATACGTCAAAACCGTATGAAGCCAATGGATTTATGACGGAAGACCCCCCAAATGGCTTGTTGAATCGACTTAAATAGAGATGATGAGTAGCCATTGGATTTAAGGATTTTCACACACACAAATGGAACAGTTCTACAGCCAAACTGGGCAACTGAAAAGGGAATGGTAGCACCTAACCTACCCGATCCACAAAAATTTCATGGGAGAGGCTTCCAGATACCCATCAGCCACCACAGAAAAGATCAAGAGTTTCCAAAAACCTCTTATAGATAGTTTCTACAAGACCCTTTATTCACCGTTTCTATGGTTTGGTACCACTTGTATATATCTGTATACACGTATATCGATGAATACATATGTGTATGTATATATATATATATATGCACAAGGTACAATGAAGACAATGAACATAATGTATCATAATATGTAATTGTGGCATTGTATATATTGTAATTATACCATATTATACGCAGTGGTTCTTGAATCACGGGTTACCCCGCTTACGCCTCTAAAAAAGCCTCTATCGCCCCACCTCACAGAGCTGCAGCCGTCGGGTGGCCAGCTCCAAATCTTGGTATTCCGCCGGATCGGCCTTGGCACCGCCACATCTTGGTAAGGTCGTCACTAGTCATGCGGCTACGGCCAACATGATTAAACATGATCAAATCATCTCACCAGTTCTACCCATGTATAATTAGATACATCCTCTCATATGGTTTGTACTTACACACACATATATTATATATATATGTAACTAATTACATACATTTTGTACATGTAAATATTGTATATATATAGTATATTCAAGGCTCCACCGTATTTGGTGCTGATCCAATGCTGATCCACCCATGGCCATGTCCTTGCCTCATCGCCGCCATTCTTCTCGCGGCTCTGTCGAAAGGCATCGGCCTCATAATAGCCCAGTGATTGGTCGTTTGCCTATGTCTGAAAATGGGATATACCACCACAATAGTATATAGTTCTCACAAGGAAAGTGATGCCGAACTCTCAAATTTGGGGGTACCCAAGTTGCAGGCAATCCCATTGTTTTGTTGGGCCCTACAGCGTGTCCCAGCGTGGGGACAGCATGACCAGCATCAACAGCCTTTGAACATGACGAAGTCGCAGGTTGCAGCTCGGTCCGAAGGATTGTGGGCCCCTTAATATCTGGGCCTAATCACCAGCAAAGAAAAAAAACGTGGTGCGTCCCATATATCTGCCACACCTGCCATATCTGCCATATCTGCCCAGGGGCTCGCCGTAGAAGCCGTGCAGCCGCAGACAGGTCTTGGCCCAAGGTATTGCAGCGCGCCTGATCATTCCACTGAGTTGGATTCCCCAGAATTGTTAGGTATATCCCAGTTACCCTCTGGTTATTTAACCATCATGGTATATCATGGTATATCACATTTAACCATATTTAACCCCCATTATATCCCCATTCTTGGTGTGAAATCTCCAAGCATTCCCAGGATATAGTGAAATATCAGTGGTTGGTAAGTCCCCTAAGTGGGCTATCCCGTTGATGTATTGGTAATGATGAACTATGGTATGTAACCACGTACAACTCGTGGGATGATCCCCTAAGCATTGAGATATCAGATATCAAGGACGGAATAATGGAATATCACTAGGATGTCTACTAGGTCATTAGGTCATTAGGTGTCATTATCATGTGGATACAGCATCAACCGTGGGTGGATACGGTAGAACCATCATTTTTTTCTCGCCTCATGGATGACCTTCGCGGCTCGCAAACAGTCACCCGATTGGCGCTTCCTGCGAGCACGGCGAATTGATTCTAATTGATTTAGAAAAAATAAATTAAATGATTGATACCCTCTGGTAATTTAACATAGCTATTGAAAATGACCATTTATAGTGGATTTTCCCATTAATCATGGTGATTTTCCATAGTTATGTTAAATTACCAGAGGGTAATAAATGTAAATGGGTCAAATATGGTCAAATAACCTTCCCAGAAATTACCACCAGAACATATTGGAAGAATCGGGGGTAATTTTGGCGAACTCTAACTTGCCTGCACGAACTCAACAGGACCGGCAATGAGTGGCAGAACCGAAGCCGAATGGAGGGATAGATTGATGGAAAAGGGAACGCCTTGCTATCATCCTGGAGTGCCTCGCTCTCACGCTTTTAAGGTCTCCACAGTTTGCGCACACATGCTAATTGTACGGCAAGACCCTGAGGTTTGCCCGGACTCGCAACGAGTGTACGGGCATGATGATGGTGATGATGATGATGATGATGATGATGATCGTGATGATGACGACCAATATGCTCCGCATAAACAATGTATTTAACCATTATTAAAGATCTTCAATGAATGAAAGAGTTTAACGGGGGTGGGAGAATTAAACTCTTATTGAAGAATATTCAATGAATGTAGAAGTTTAACGGGGGTGGGAGAATTAAACCATTATTCAAGATCTTCAATGAATGGAAGAGTTTAACGGGGGTGGGAGAATTAAACCCTTATTCAAGATCTTCAATGAATGTAGAAGTTTAACGGGGGTGGGAAATTTAACCCCTATTGAGGATCTTCAATGAATGTAAGAGTTTAACGGGGGTGGGAGAATTGAACCCTTATTGAAGAATCTTCAATGAATGTAGAAGTTTAACGGGGATGGGAGAATTAAACCCTTCTTGAAGATCTTCAATGAATGTAGAAGTTTAACGGGGGTGGGAAATTTAACCATTATTGAAGATCTTCAATGAATGTAAGAGTTTAACGGGGGTGGGAGAATTAAACCCTTATTGAAGAATCTTCAATGAATGTAGAAGTTTAACGGGGCTGGGAGAATTTATATGATATGTATAGTGTGAACAAAAAATCCTTGTAATTTACGCTATTCTGGGCTTGGGCAAACCTCGGGGTCTGTGTGTAATATGCTAATTGTAGTACAATACGGAGTATGAGTATATAATACACACAGTATACAATATCTATGGAATACAAATGTAAGTACGTGTTATGGATGGTTACCTCTGGCTCAACCCCAACTCTTGGACACAGGCAATATGTTGTTTGCACCGGCTTGCAGTTCGATGTGAATGGCTTCATTTTCAGACTTTTGCATTCCAAGGGTCACCGGGGAGGCTAACAGGATCCCACGCTGACAAGTACCCTCCGAGGTCCCAACAGGGTCTTGATATGCATGTTGTAGTAGAGACCTTGCAGCTTGCAGCTGCCAGATGTGCCAATGAGCCAAAACACCTGCCTCCTGATCACTTCATTTGTGGGAATTTCAAGCATATCCGGCCTTGAAGAAAACGCGAATGAAATGGGATTCTAATTTCTCGCAACTAGGGAGCAGCTAGGAGTTAAGTGGGATGATGACCCATTTCTGGATACCCGTGGGTGCCCGGGTAGCAATGGCCCATCATTCCCACCATCCCACCATAGATAGCCTCCCAGGTCTTAATGCTGCCCAGGCGGCGCTTTTGGGCGTAGGCTGCCTGAGCCATGTTGTGAGCTTCGGCGTCCACATACATCTGGTCGTGCACCTGGTGGAAAATGTGGAAAGCCCGACTGGGTGAGAATGAGATGATACCCACAATGAAATAAGACCAATAAACATGGTGATGCGCCAGTGATGCGCCCAAAAATATCAAAAATTATGAAATCGCCCACTTGCCATGTGGAAGCGAGCAATCGAAATGGGAAAAGAACCATCAGGTGGCTGCAACCAACAACTTGCAAATATGATGAACATTGACTTTCTGACTTACAGCCAGTCAAATAGGATGCTTATGTTTCATGAGATACGTTCTGGGTGGTGCTTCTGAACGGTTGGAGCAAATGTGGGTCTGGAAAAGGGATGCAATGAGGTATACATATTTACAAAACTTATCTATGAATGCTTTCATGTATTTGCACATATTTTATTGTATTTACACTATATTTACAGAATCCGCAGGTTTTCGCAACTAAGCATGTCTAGCCGATCTGCCGGGGGCTCAAGTTTTGACCCAAACTCTTTCTGAGTCAAGTTGTACTGGCCCCTCTCAGGAGGAGAACAAGCCTCATGGGCCCGAGATTATGATCACTATAGATCAATGGATCAGTTTGGAACGGGTCAAACTCGTTTGCGCTCAAAAAAAACTCACCGTTTCGTAGTCTATCTTGAGATATTGAAGAGCTGCGTGCAACCCGGGGGTTCCCGAATGACTTGATCTGTGCCCCCACTGGTTGAACCAGCGTCGTGATATGGCAGGTGCCTGCAACTTTGGCAGGTGGTAGAGGACATAGGTCTGGTAGTTACACCTGGGGACGGTGCGCCACTCAAGTTTCATGCATGTCTCTGATTCACCTGGGAAAGAATGGCCTTGGGATGCCGTCAGTATTAAATGTAAAGCAACTAGCCCTGCTAATTTTTTGTGATCACTTTTAGATCCCCGATTTTCTGCTTGTAGTTCCCTTCTCCCCAAGTTTTTGACAGCCAAGGCACAGGGAGCAGATAGGATTTTCCCCAAAGTCCGGGTCCGCGAAACTCAGCGCCGTCAAAGAACTCCGCGACAAGTCCAGCACCTGCAGCCGGGGAGGGATGCCTCAGGAGCAGGGTGATGCCTCCAGTCAAGTGGCTAAACGATTCACTTCCCAAAAAAAAAAAGACAAAGCCATTTAACCATATTTAACCCACCAGAACAACAGGAAGTTGTCCCACTCCCACGGCCTCCTTGAAGGAACAAAGCCGATTTCCGGACAAGTTCAGGGACTGCAGCTGTGGCAGTTGATCAAAGGCACCCACCACCGAACTCAGCTGGTTGCTGGCCTCAAACAGTGGCCAACGGGTCAGGGCAGCTGGTTGGTGGGTTTAGAAATACAACAACTTCGGGGAAGAGATGAAATGGGTCAGAACCATTCAAAAGCCTGGTACACTGCAAAACATCCCAAACCAAAACCGTGGCAGATCCCTACTCCTTTCTGGGCTGGTTACTATTGATGCATCGTATGGGTCAAAATTGGATGCCCAAACATGTGACCGTTTTGCACCAAACATGAGAAAAACCGTCTTCCCCGGCGCCACAAATATTAATGGATATATATATATATATAGATACAAATAACCACAACAAAAAGGTGTCTACCCTGGAGTTTCATAAACCCCGTTGGCATCCTCCTGACACCATGGAGTAGTATTGTGAAAACAGAACGGAGCAGCGACCAGGAAAAAACACCCTTGAGGTGGAAAAAAACCTGGCCGATGCCCAAAACCAGAGCCACTCATGGACCCAGGCCCCGCTGCACAAACCCCAGAGGCCAAGAGAAGAAAAATTAAGAGGCATGCAGGCCAAATGCCCGACACAGCTTGGCCGAGTCAGGGCCAGCCAAAGATGGTCGGAAAAAGCAAGGATGCCTCTCACTGCCTCAGCAAAAAGCGGCCCGCACGCAAGGGTCGAAGACAACGAAGACCAGAAGAGATCGACGTGGCCATCCCAGCCGGAGTCCGGCAAGCCATCCGCACAACGACCAAAGCTCAAGCAACGAGCTCAGCACGGCGCCGCAGAGCAGCACGGCCCCTCCAGCTACGCACCAGCACGCAGGTTTCCTGCAACAAGGTGGGCCCGCCTGCGCCGCCTCCAGCAGCGCGGCTGATGTGAGCCAAGGCTTGGGCCGCCTCCGGCGCCCAAGCGCCCGTGGTTTCAATCACCATGGGGAGGAAGGTCACGTGCTGGGCTGCGCATGCATCAGCTGTGTCCAGGTGCCGGCGCTTGTAAGCACCATATGCCTCCGCAGCAGAAGTGTTTCCTGAACCACCAAGGGCGTCCAACCGCTGGGGTGCCGTGACGGCAAAGTCAAGTGCAGTTGGGCGTCCAAGGAAGGACGGGAGAAACACATCCGCAGGGCGGCGTCGGGCACTGGCCGCATCATCAGGTCGTTGTGGGAGAAGCAGGCCAGCCTTCTCACGCTCAGGGCGAAGACATCCTCGTTCGGCCCAACTGTGAACCAGGTCACGAAGGGCGTTGTGGCGAAGTGTACGCTCCCCACCAGCCATGCACATGCCAGCATGGTACCCATGCGTGTCCAGAATGGCATCGCATTTGGGGCACCATGTGTCGGCAGCAGCTTCTGCAATGCCCAGACGGACCCGGATCTCAGCCACGAACACCGCTGGCTCCATGCGTGTGCGGCCGGACGGCGCACAGGTCAGAAAGGCCCGAGCACCAGGCGTTGCCTCCGACAACAACGTGGCTTTGCCAACAGCGGAAGTTGCGTGGAGTTGGGCCTGCCACCCAGCACCATCTATTCTGCGGCTGAGGTCCTTCTGCGTGAGCCCCAAGGCAGCGGCGGCAGTGAGCTGCTGAGTTGGGTCCAGGCAAGCGTTGAGTGCCGACAAAGCGGCGGCCACATCTCCAGAATGGTCTAACCAGTAGCCGCCATCAAGCTCACCACAGAGTCGGGCACAAGCGCCAACTGAGGCAAGGTAGGCACCTGGCGCATGGACCTTAGTGGAGCGGAGCCCCAGGCCGGCTTGGCCCAAGCCACAGCTTGCTTGTTGCCACGCAGAAGCCTCAACATGCAGACCAGTGAAGGAGCTGAAACATTCTTGCACCAGGTAGTCAAACTGTTCCAATGCAGTCTCGTGCCCAGCGGGTGGGCAGCACCGCATGGTATGCACGAGCCTCGCGTAACCAGCGGAAGCTCGCAGCAGCCGAAGGGCAACCTGTGGATCTTCAAGTGCACCAATGGCTTCCAAAAGTTTGCGGGCACCCTCAACTCGACCAGTGGCATGCCTTTGCAAATACTCGGGCCCACCAATGCCAGCCCCGAGAAATTCAAAGTCACGGAGAATGCGATTGTTGCCATCGGAAGTGCTCACAAGTTGGGATGGTAGCTTGGCCGCAATGGCCGCGGCAGACGTCATGCCCACAGCGATGGCCTCACTCTTGCCCAAGTTCAACACTAAGCCAACTCGACCAGCAGCCTGCTGAAGTTGAGACAGGGCAGCTGTCACCGCATCAATGGGCCCAGCCAGCACCCCATCGTCCAAGTAGAACACCGAAAAGTCCAAGGCGGTGGTCCGAAGCGCTGCAGCCAGGGGATGGAGAGCAGCCGCAAAGAGCAAGGGTCCCAAGGGATCCCCTTGCTGGACTCCGCTGTTGGACTGGAGGACCGTGTCTCCGAACTGGAGGTTGGTGGCGTGCTGGTAGCACCACGTGCTCCAGCGGGCCAGAGCGGGAAACTTGTCCCGGGCCTGTTGTAAGACCACATCACGGCTGACAGTGTTGAAGGCGTTCTGGAAATCAACCTTCACCACGACCGAGTCGTGCGAAGCGGCATGGCGGCTGACACAAGCTCGCAGGCCATGGACCGCAGCTTCAGCTCCGCCCGGCACTGCAACACCTGCTTGGGCAGGCCAGAAGTGGTCCCGGGCCTCAGGCCGCACCGCTTGCATGAGGCATTTGCCGGTCAGGCGGCGAAGAAGCTCGCCTACCGCTATTGGGCGGATACCGCCAGACGGCTTGGGCAAAGCCACCAGCCCCGCACCAGCGAGCAGTGGAGCAATGCTTGGACAAGCCCGCCCTTGGGCCAGGAGGTTCACAACCGCGGTAAGCTGGTCCAGGAGCCCGACGCCATGCCCCACAGCATCCAAGACGTGCTGCACGCGGAGGCCACTAGGCCCCGGCGCCGTGTCTGAAGGGAAGCGGCGAAGGGCTTGCGTCACCGCATCGACATCGAACCCGGGCGCCAACGGCAAGCTCTCCAACGCAGGGACGACTGGTGCTGCAGATGTGGGGTGGAGGGCGCGCAGGGCTGCAACTGTTGCCTGGGAGTGGTCGCAGAGACCGTGCGAAAGCAAGGCTGTGCAGGCCTTCTTGTCGAAGCCTTAAAGGTGTCTTGGCAACACACACGAATGATCATAGAGCCATCAAACATTAGGGTACAACCACCAGATTTTTCACATCATTCGACGTGACTTCATCATTGAACATATTGAACCTAATCAAAATTGTCCCATTCTCAGCATCCCCAGAATCCCCAGAACTCTCCGGGTTTCCAGGCCGCATTGAGCTCCGTAAGACTTGGCAGCACCAGGTTTTCCAAGGAACGCAGCTGGTTTCCGGCCAACCACAGCACCTGGCTGGTACGGAGAGGATGAAAAAGCACTGGTTGGCCTTAGAGTGTGCATAAATACATGTAAATAAAGACGTAAATACATATGTATATATATATATATACATATATATATATACATATATATATATATACATATATATACATATATACATATATACATATATATACATATATACATATATACATATATACATATATACATATATACATATATACATATATACATATATACATATGTACATATGTACACATATATATATATATATATAAATAAATATATACATATATACAAAAATACATATATACACATATACATCTATACATATACACATATACACATATACACATATACATATATACACATATACACATATACATATATATATATAGTTGGATAAGAGGCAACTGAACTAACATGATACAACAATACGCAAATGATGGTGGCATAATCAGCCATTGAAAATCTGAACGGCTCCCCACCTCCAATTGCTCCAGCCCTGCGAGGCCGGAACCGATCTCCTGGCATTGTGGCGGCTGCAACCATACGACTGTGATGGTGTTTGAATATAGATGGGAATATCCTGTAATGCATCATACCTAGATGGGTATCTATAAATGTATATATATATATATAGGTATCTATACATAGATCGGTATCTCATGGATCTAATGGTATCTATCTATCTCTATATATAAGGGACAGCTATCTTTAAGTATGATTTCCAAGCTGATCAAGATTCTTCCAGGGTGGCCTGGCCCCAGTCCCACGAGTTTGCAGATGCCCCCGGCGCAAGATCCTTGATGCAGTTGAAGGGCAGGTACAGCCTCAGGCTGCTGGTGTGTTTACCCTCTGGTAAACTAACATAGCTATAGAAAATCACCATTATTAATGGATAAATCAACTATTTCTATGGCAATTTTCAATAGCTATGTTAAATTACCGGAGGGTAAACTCTATTCAAGAAACCATGGCTGAAACCTGCTGGAACTGGAAAATGATCCTGGAAACGCCCCCATAGGATATGTGTCTGAGGAATTCTATGGGATTGTCACTTGCATGCCTGTTTCAAACAGATCAACAGGTAATCACAAAACTTCATGATGAAATGATATCAGCCAGAAGTTCACACGAAGATCAGGAGGATCTGGAACCAATTCAATCTGGCTGAAAGCATACAGTTCCGATTTTTGCTTCACAGTGACACTCACCTGTACACCTGTAACCCCAGGTGCTTGATCTCTGTGCAGTTTCCAGGGCCCCGACTTTTGGAGGTTCAGACAATTCTGAAGGCCTTCGATCTTTTTGATGCTGTTTTCCTCAAAACGACTGGACCCAAGGCTGCTGGTTTCAGCTGACCTGGTCTGGAGATGCTTTGAACTTTGTTGCATGACTCTTTCCTTTCCAAAATGTGGTTGACAGTTTAATTCAAGTCCATCTTAACTTCTGAGGACCCTTGAAGAGTTCTTTGAGCGCTCATAGACTAGTCCAACTTTCCTCCAGCATCGTAAATGCATCCAGGAACTGGGAGTGGAGTGTATCAGCAGTTTTAGTCGTTGAGGGTAGCACTCTGATACCAAGGTTGGCCGAGGTTGGCCCTTGTTACTATCAGTGTTTCCACCTTATCATCAACAAGGGACGACAACAAACTGTTTCGTGGAAATGTTCATGATCTAAATACCCCCACACTAATCAATCTTCAATGATCCCGAATATCCAAGTAAATCTGAGTAGCAAGTTTCTCCACATCTTGGGGTCCCATAAATGGGGGAATACCCAAATATCTATAATCTTCATGGTATCATAGCCTTTTTCATGGGGAAAACCCATGGGAAAACCCCATTTCTCCAGGTTGGCGAGGTGCATTCAGCAGCAAACGCTGGAGCTCGGGGCTGTACTCCAGGCCCTCGATCTTTTGGATGTCCTGGGGGGTGGGAAAGGGCTGGAATCCATGGAATCCATGGAAGGATAATCCACGGTTGAGGAAGTGTGACGAGGTTAACGAAGATGAGGATGATTCACATGATTCCCCAATAGCTGGATGGTTTATAATGGAAAATCCTATTCTGGTTGGTAGTTAAAAAAACCAATGAGAATTGGGATGAGGAATAGCGTGACCCCGAAGATCCCATCTCCGGTCCTGCTGGATTAAGGATACCTGCAGTGCGGGTGCGGAGCATATTGAAAAATACGAAGAAAAAAACATTTGACAAGTTTTTTCATCGTTGGGATGTGTCAAAGCAAGACACCGGGGTTTAAAGTTTACAGCTTGGATATGGGCAATATCGCACTCTTGTGAACATGGTTGAACCTCCGTGTACAGCCCATCCTGCCATGCCAAGCTGCAGATTGAAGCTTGGGAAAGTGTGCCAGGGTGCGCATACAGCAGTAGTCATCAAGTACCTGGGGGCTAGGTGAAGCCAGGTAAGGCTTGTGTGAAAAATTAAATGATGTTAAATATGGGTGTTTGTGTGTATATATATACACATATATATATATATATATCATCGGTATATCCCAAGAGTCAGGGAGACTTCCCATTGACATCCCAATCTTCCCATTGAGTCAGCAGTCTGGATCGTCCCTGATCAATGGAAACCATTCACACCATTCGGCAATCGCTCCCTGGAACCACGGAATTGCCAAGTCCCATCCATTCAAAAAGATGGCTGTGGAAATCCCCTGCCGAATATATAACTGTCACTTCCTCCGCAAAGCATGGTGGTACCATCTCGATGTTGGTGATCCGCTCCGGCGTTTTCAGGTCCTGGCGGGTCTGCTGAGTCTTGTGATGCTCATGGGTGCGAGTGCTTGTAGAGTTATTCTTCACATTGACCGTCATTAAACTGCCCTTGATTCTAGGATGGATCCAAAAAGCAGGGTGGAATTGCTGCCCGTATCTGCCCATATTCTCTAACCGGCTGAGATGGCTACTACCGGTGCCCACGGAGCGCCCCTTTGTACAGTATGGGCCTCTTCTCGGAATCCATTCACGGCCAGAAGATGCAACAGCCCCTCCTGTGCCGATAGGATCATCCCGAGGGCAGGTGGGCAGTAAGGGTGGAAAGATATAGAAAGTCCATAAAAGTCCAAATAGTTCATGTTATTTGATGTTATTATTAGCACGAAGAAATGGCCTACTATATGCCTAATCATTCAAGACATTCAAGACATTCAAGACATTCAAGACATTCAAGACATTCAAGACATTATGACTTATTGTAACCTCGTAACCCCGATCTATTGACTGGTTGCCAAATGGATGAGCAGATCATCAGGTAGCCGATCATCGTGCTGTGACGCGGGGATCTGCGGGGTTATCCAACTCGCCCAATAGCTGATCTTGAGTCTGGAACTCAAACAGTGCAAATATAGTTCACAAATGAGGTAGAACCACTTCATGATGGAATGTTTCACATTGTAACTATGTGGGGAGTGCTCAGAATTGTGCTCAAAATGATGGGAATTGGATTGAATTGTATGGTTAATACATGTTAATACCAAGACACGACCGAACTTTGTGGTTCATTGGGCCTTTTTGACGTTGGCGCGTGTCATGTTGGATGAGGAAAACCTTCGTCCGAAGCAACCAACATCAACCAACCAGTTCAACATGGTTCAACCAATTCCCTCTCTTTCATGGCCCCGAGCTCCACGGTAGACTCCAGGAATCCTTCCGGTGTTCTGGATCTATTGGTAAAATAACCCACCATTTTCAGATCATCCACCATGGCTCAAAATGGCATCAACCACCATTGTTTCCACAGAAAGTTTTTCGATGGGTCAGATGATTCAATGGCTGATTGGCATCCCAAAAAGGGATGGCCTTAGATCACTCCAATTTTTTTCTTCGTGGAAGCGTGGGTTACCTTCATCCATATCATCCATATCATCAATCTCCATCAGATGACCTGAAAAATAATCCCCGGCCGCCCCGGCCCAAAAATTTCGGACGGCCTTGAGGTCTCGTTCACTGAAATCACCTGGCGATGAAGCCATGAAGCCATGAAGCCATGGAGATTGGAGCTATCCGATAGGGCCCAAAAAGCCATGTCAACTGGCGGGGATTCAGATAAGCAAGTGCTAATACACTTTAAGTTGAAATCCAAACTAAAGTGAATAGTTCACGGAAATGTGAACTTGACATCCATTTTCAACCGAGGATTTTGGGGGACCCTCAAGACCCCAATCAACAGAGTCAACATTCCCAGCCACCGGTGCCTGGCTGGCCTCTATACGCCATAGTGCCCTGCTGAAGGCTTCAGCCCTAATGATACTTTCAGTATCGTGCCAAGTGACAGGAAAACGCTGGAAAGTTTAGTGCAAAAGAAAGAAATGTTACTGAAACCGGCTACCGTTTTCTTGATGTTTAAACAGAAAACACCCATTGATCATCATTGATCATCATTGATCATCATTGATCTAGTTTGAAATTTGCTTACAAGGATCTACATGATTTACAAACCAATCTATGTTGGGTGTGTGTAGACCAGATCGAAATGGATAGTACATGTTCTGCCCCAGATCTTCGGTGCTGATGGCCAAGGCATTGCCCGCAACCCGGTCAGTTTTGCTGGTCACTTTAGTTCATCCATAGTCATCTTGTAATGTCGTAATGAATCCGCTGGGTATTGGCACTGGAACTCCAGGTCTTGTTGCTCCATACTATATATATATATTATAATATGAAATATAATATAATATAATATAACATAATATAATATAATATAATATAATATATTATATATATATACTTATACTATATATAATATATCACCATGGTATACCATGGTCGCCAATGTGTGGCTTTCATGGGATGAAATGAAGAGGGCGGCCCCATTGTAAGTCGTCAAAGAGGCCAGTTTCGTTTGGAGATGTTGATTCATCCAGTACCAGTTGTAGATGAAACCTACAGCTGCTAGATGTTTTTCATGGCCCCTTCCATGTGGTATATGTTGTGATATACCCCACTTACTAATCATTTACCCCTACCTTCCTTGGATCCTCATGTTCGAGGGTTTTGCCTCAAGAGTTCCCAATCAGATCACTTCAGGAATCAGCCCAGTTCCCGCTGGTCTTTTTCTAAAATGTCACCGGCCATGTCGTGTGCTCTCTGTGGAGTTGGTGGCGGTCCCTGTTGCGCTTGACCCTGTTGGAAATTCGCAAAAATTGTTGGTTCTATCATGTGATATCCCTAGCTGCGGTGACAAGGCTGCCCTTGCAAAAACAAGGGATGAAGGCTGATGGGTAAGTCATCAGGCCTAAAAAATTGGGGCATATAACATCATATAACTCCATGTGTGTTGCTTCCATTTCTGCTTTTTGTTGGTTCTTGCCCTTGCACTCTATTTGTGCTCCTCTTTGTGCTGATTGTCTCGGTGGATCCACCAGAGATCCTTCCAGACCAATGTCGTGACTTCTCTTCATCCATTGACGGCAAACAGTCCAAAAACTGTTGTTTTTAGGTGTGTAACTGTTGCTTTGGGGGTTCACTTATGGGGGGGGCTTTGATTTTGAAGATGGGATTGAGAACTATCATGATTCTGAAGTCATAGTAAGTACCTATTTCCAACCATGTAACAATGTAAGAATGATAACAAATAATAAGAAGACAAAATGTGGGAAGAACCAAAACAATAAGAATAATCGACATAATCACCCATCACCATCACCATCATCATCATCATCATCATATCATCATCAACAACCCTTGTATCATTAATCTTCGTGATTCGTCCTTTTGTGGGTCCAGCCTGGACTGCTCAGCTCCACGGCTATCCGCGGACTCCAGCCGAGCGCCCCGCGAAAAGAGCGGTGGACGGCGGTCGCGGTGAGCGGCGAGGTCATCGCTCCACTGGGGTCCAGGAGCAACCAATGGATCTGGCTACCCTCGGGTAATTGGGAGATGGTGATAGAACAATGGGAATACAACTTCTGACAATGGGGATTGCAAGGAAACGATCATGATGACTTTGCCACTGGCTTGGGTGCACAGCCTTTTTATATTAGAGATCATATCCTTTCCATGAATACATAGCTCTTAAAATAAGCTGTAGCCCCATTTTACGAGAATGTATAAAAGGGAAGGGGAATTTGCAGCACGTCCCGTGTTTGGACAAACCTATATGTATTGTAGGCCTTTCAAGGTGCTGCAATGATATAGAGGGCCCATGCAAGATCCGAAACATTTGGGACTTACTCTTTACCTTTGATTGTACGCAGTTTGGGGACAGTATTGTACCCTGTACATGTTCAGTTACAAGTATCTTTGCTAGGGTTTTAGGGGGCTCCCTCAGGCTAGCCAACAGGCTTAAATTATGAAGTGTAGGTTTCGGGTCAAAATGTACCTGGGCTACCCTCTGCAAAGTGCGGCCCCCATTCATTCTGCATTGTTGCTCTGGGGGGACTCCGAAACCACCAAACCAAACCACCAGTGGCAATTGTCAAGCTTGGTTGAATATGTTGAATATCCTAAAGGTATCTAAAGCTTTGCAGCTCCCGTTGAGACCTCAGTGGATGCCACTGCCAAATGCGTCAACACACAGATTTTTACTTGCTCCGCTCGCCTCTGATAGCTGCAGTCACTATCCAGTCGTCACCATCCAACTTTGAACGCTTGGGCGATCCCTGGGATACTCCTATGGTCCTATTGGAACTGTGCTCACTGACTCAGCGACTCACTCAAGAGAATGTAGCCCTTTTTTCCAAGAAGGATCCAAAAAGTGTGGCTATTGACATGTTTGGCAAAGTCAGCTGAGGTGGAATTCCCACGAGAATACATGTCTTTTGGCCCAATCTCAACCAGCCAATACAACCAATACAGGCATGTTGACCGGAGGTGACAAGCAAAGACTCTCAGAGGCTCCGAAGCTGCGCGGCTGACACACCAAGAGATTCATGCCAATAACTTAATCACAGAGTTGAAATCAAAAGGTGTCAAACACGACACTGACTGTTGGTGAATTCCTGTCTTTTGTTAAGGAAAAACCCTAACTTCTGGTTGAATCTCAGCATTTCCGTTGGTTAAAACCCCAGTGTTTCGCTAGCGACTAGCAATGTTATGTATCTGTTCATTATTAAATTGTTCATATACATACTATATCATATATATATATTCTAATCATATATATATATATTATTATTATTATTATTACTATTACTATTATCATTACTATTATTATTATTATTGTTATTATTATTATTGTTATTATTATTATTGTTATTATTACTATTATTATTATTGTTATTATTATACATTAATATCCATGAGCATCAACCAAAGCTTCACATACCTGCATGACATAGCATGGCCCATGGCTTCAACTGGTGCGTCAAACGCCGTCGTGGAGACGATTCGGAAACTCTTCGCTCCGTTGCGCATCGTGGTTTTCAAACAAACGTATGTCTTTTCCAAAGATGTGGCAGTGTGTCAAAACCCTGGTACCCCTTCTGTTCACCTCAAAATAGCTGGGATTTATGGATGTTCATCCCCCTAAAAATGGTATTAATAGGTATTGATCCATACCCATGTGGATGCACGTGTGAGATTCGGCCAGTATCTACCAGGGACCTCTACAGATCTCTACAGTATGTACGGAAGTCTTGGGCAGAAAAGTTGCTACAGTGACCATGACTGAACTAGCCAAGCTTGGGGCAATTAAACAAGGATTCCCAAATTCGACCCAAGGTGGCTGTATTCAAACAAAATGCATACACAAAATGATACAAACACGCATATGTGGGTATAAAACATCGATCGGCATCGCTGCCACAAGCAAATTATACATCGCATGTTGAGTAAATGAAGTGCATGCCCCGAGCTCAAAATTGCCTTCAAATTCTGGTAGAATGACTACAAGCCAAATCTCATCCTTCCACAAAAGGTCCAATGGGGCACCATAATCATTCAGCTCAACAGCAACAAACACGTGGGGTCCATGTGGAGGTCAACTGGCTTAGATCCTCAGCTGTCCTTGCAGCACCTTCTACCGGCAGGAGGCACTGACATACCACAGTCGAGCGAAGCTCCTCTCTGCATGGTCTCGGTGTTTGCCACTCATTGCGCAAACCATCATCCCTTTCAACATCTTTCAACCATTTTAAACCACTGGATTTTCTGCTGTCAAGGTAAACACCAAGGCGAAGTAGCCACAAGGACGCTGCTGGTACCCACGATGCGTCCTGGAACTGCGAATTTTTTGCAAACCTGACGCCGTGACGTGGGGTGAACCTCGAGGAAGCGAGGTCAGAAACAGGCGTGAGTAGGACAACTCCTGTTGCGATTGCTTTCACATAAATGGGTGGACGGCAAAAGATGGAGAAAATATCTGATATTTCACAGCACAAAAACACCAAGCTGCTTTCTCATCTTTCTATCTGTAGCTATTTGGAAGTTGCAGCTTCTCAAAGGCCCATTTGACCCCATCTTTGCAATTCTTCGCATCTGGTTGCCCTCGAGATTCCTCCTTGCTGCGCCTCAATACATTCACCGTGCGTTGCCTCATGCTGATCTCAAGGCTACTTACATCGCCAAAAATACGGTGACCAACAGCTAACATAGCGGGGTAGTAGGGTGATACCCAACATTACCAAACCAAAGGTCTGCATATTAGGGAGAGGTGGCATTACCATTTCAGCGTATCTTTCCCAAGTAAGGCCTGGAGCTCATTTTCTACTGATGTCAAGCCTTGTGCACACTGTGCAGCTGTCAACGCACAGTCCACGGCCGGGGTGGGGTGTTTTTTGCACCGACAGAGTCACCCGGTCAAACTGTGTACAAAATGGCGACGTGGCCGCCGTCACTCGGGGAGAGACTCTTTCAGGAACCGGTGGTTCAATGCCTCGCAGGTACATCTGTGTTCTATCCAGATCCAGGGAGACTCGAGGCCTCTGCATGGCTGTACGCTGACTCCTGTTTTGTACATGCAGGCACTTTTTCTCCATTTTAGGTCTTTAGATGTTCTTATTCTCATCATGCCTTCATCCATTTAATCATTTAGTACACTCATGGTAGGTAGTGGAGCTCTATATAGCATGTGAACGTGCAATCTAAAAGCATCATAGGGGGATTCGCATCATCAGGACACGCCTGTTTGGCAGTTGGCCGACTGCTCTTGTCGAAGACAAGTAAGCGCCCTGCATGACTCACCACTTAGAGCCCTGGGAACCACAGCATTTGGATGTGGTTGTCGTATTTAAACGATCCATCCCATTTTGGTGGTACCAAAAAGTGCGCACATACCCATGCACAAAAGTCCTCACCAATGGTGGATCAGATCGGTCTTGGGCAGCAACCCCGGCAATGGGATCGAGAGAAGAGAGAGGAAAAAACATATATCAAACAAGCCTTGCAAGCGCCATTTTGTAGGGGGGTCAAAGTTTCTAAAAGAACTGCGTGGACTGGCCAGGCAAACCGCTTTCCAAGACTTTTCCACACCCAAAAAACCGCACCTATGAAGTCCGCGAAGGCAGCATGTTTCGAGGGCACCATCTTTCCCAGCGGCAACTGAGCGCTTGTCCGTGAGAGATGGCTTGAAATCAGGATGACCAACCGACCAACCGATCAGTTCGACAAACTAACGCAAGGGATTTGACCAACAAAAATGGGATGCTCAACCCCAAAAGCGCAAATGCAACCAATAGATACCAATAGTAGGTGTAGAACCAATGACCTTCGGAGTGCAGAACAAACAACCTTCGTGTTTTAACCATCAAATGGCAAGTGCCTCTTTTTGGTTTGCAAGGCAAATCGTCCAACTATGTCCAAACTGGTCCTTGTGGGAGGTTTCACACACAAAAAAAGATAGCTTCGTGTATAGCTAACTATTTCCTTGGAAGTTCAGTGTATTTGAGGTTTTCATCGGTTTTCATATAGGTTTTCATATAGGTTTTCATGGGTTATCATGGGTTTTCATAGGTTTTCTTGGTTTTCCTTGGCCTTTTGCTACTCCATCACAACCCAAGCAGCTGATCCCACCTGGTTGGTCACATGCTTCTCCGACGAGCGGGACTGCGCCCCAGCCGGCCTCAATGGTTTGAATTGTTTTGAGACATTCCCATATGTCCAACATTGTCCAACTATCTGAGTACCGGGTACCCAATTCCAATGAATTATCGCAATGTTTCGCAATGTTTCGCAATGTTTCGCATGATTCGGCTCCCAAATGGTCTTGAAATGAGCCAGGTCCCATTCCTCACGGGGAGAGTGATCAAGTATGGCTGTGTTGCTGTTGCCCTGTTGCCAATATTTTGATTATTTCGATCGTTCTTCTGCTGGTGATGCAGGATTTTTTTTCCCTCTGGACTCTGGGTCCCGGTAATATCCGGTAATTCTTGACCGAGATCTCCAAAACTTGAGGTGCCCCCCAATCTAAATGGCCTAATTTAGCAGATTTCAACATGATTTTGTCTCAGAGAGGAACCCATTCAATTCGTGGTATTAGCCCAACTTTTAGTGTCCTAAGTCAATCGTTGAAGTCGATTGAAAGGATAAATGCTCATTTTGTATGCTCATGAAGGTTCGGGTTCTCAGTATTTGACACATACCCAGTTGATGATGGCTCAAAAACTGATTCTGAATCGCCGGGTCAATCGATTCGGTATCTATGTCAATCTATCTGTGCTTTTCTGGAAAAGTTGTACTCAAAAATAAGTGGGAAAAAAAAAGAAAACCCTCCAACCTTGAGGTTGTAGACTCCCCCATACACTCACGCACAAGACACGAGGGAAATGAAATCTTCTCGTCCGATTTCCCTCTCTTGGTTTCCCTTGTCCAAAAAAACAGCTGAGTTCGTAGCCAATTCAGCTTCCATCCGCCATGTCTGTCTCTCGTGAGGTACCTCTACAGCAAACATATCTCCAAAGTTGCGAACGGGTGGAAGAAGGGAAGTTAGTTCTCGGCAAGTCAGAAACCAATATCATTTCTCCCTATCTCCACCTATTTTCAGCTAATTCAAGATCATATGAGCGATGACCCATTCAGAAGGTACCACATCCGAAGCACAGCCCAAAAATGAAATGCCTCGGCATACCCTTGACCCTCCAGAAAAAATGTTCGATTCACTGCAGAAATTCCAAGGCGGGACCCCAGACCATGCGGTATGTAAGCCCTGGTGAGAGGTGACGACTTCCCTGGGCACTTGTCCCTGGACGCGCCAGTGGCTTGTGACAACATCTTGGAAGGGAAGTCTCCCAAGCTCTTCTCCTCAAGGTTGGAGGGTTGGAGGTTTGAGGATGACATGTCTCCTAAAATCCCAATCCAAACATACCCAAACCATGGTTGATGGTTTCTGCACTAACCATGTGGGGTGAAGCGACAAAACAAATCGGATGCGGACAGACTAGAATGGTGATATGATCCTGAGCCTCCAAGTTTGCTTTTGTATATTTGGCGGACCCTAGAAACAGGGAGAGATCGGGGATACGTAAAGGGCTCGAAAGATTCGAAAGGTATCAAATGTTATGGACGACTTGGAAATCCGATATATTTTGCGGTTCATTGCAATAGTGCAATCCAAGCACTCTTGTGGGTATCGTTGGCCAAAAAAAAAATGCTCACATCAACAAAAAACCTGACATAAGTCACCTTGACTATATAAGTAGTCTATTCAACTCATTCAGCTGCAGACTTTTGAGGTCACAAAGATCTTGCTGGGATGATCTACAGCCCCATGTGTCTGTACCATCAGATCCATCAGCAACAGCAGCCGCGGTCCATCAGCGCCAGATGCTCCAAATTCTCATGGGTCCCAAAGAGGAGCTCCCCGGTGTAGAGTTCCATGAGGATGCATCTGTGGGCGCGGCGCTCAGGGTGACCCAGGGTGACCCAGGGTGACAGATCAGTTTCTGATGATTAGACCAGGTGAATCCGAATGATTAGACCAGCATTGTGGGCATTGTGGGCATTGTGGGCATTGTGTAGTAGTGTAGAGTCGTACATTTGCCTCACCCCAAGTTGCATGAAGATTCCAGCATTGTAGGGAGGGTGCATGGTTACTTGGTGTACTGCTGCCAACTGATTTGATGGGTTCTGTATGACAATCCCGGCAAACAAGTTTAGGCGTGCATGCTGCAATGGGTCAAAATGTTGCAACCAAAAAACCCTGCATGGTTGAAAAGTTGAATATGTCAAAGTGGCCCAAATCTGTGTGCCACCAGGCTTCAGTTTTTACTCAAACCACATACAGATACAGTATAAAAATCAGTGTGCCACCAGTTAGAGTAAAAAAAGGTGGCATCATTGCATATCATTGCCATCATGGACCTTGAGATTTCACACAGCAATCGACAGCAATCATCCAAAAGTTGATATATATATATATGATACATCTATAACCTGGCTCTCCGCCGTTCAAAGGAGTTTAGATAAACGCAATGTCATCTTGAACACGATGAAACCTTCCTTGCCTTTGGTTGTTGAGGGCTCCACGAATCTATCACCCCTTCCCAATGGATATTTGAGTAGTAGAATAATAATCATCGTCTTAAAAGAGCTGTAATGGCAGTAGCAATGCTGTTGAAATGGTTTTGAATAAAATAAATGTTATCTGGTCACCCTCTATGTCGCAGTGACGACTCGTATACTACTAGCAAGTGGCACTCCCTGCGGAAGCAAACTTGAGGTGACTGTTCAACACATGAATCATTATTCTAATTCATCACGGTCATCTCCAATGCACGATTCATTCTGGAAACAGTCTGATGCAACAGTTGATCTGTAGCAAAACAGAATCGTCCAAGCACCAATGGATTTCAATTCAACTGCTTCAAGTCGAATCTGTTCAAAGCATTTCAATACCATGACAATGCTCTGGAGAGGAAAAAAATGTAGTTTTGACCATAATGCAAGCCCTGAAACATTGCGGGGTGTAGATGATTTCAACATCAAGTGCGGCATTACAATAAAAGTCTTGAAAGAAAGCGATGGCAAGAACTTCTGCAAGCCGCCCGCCACCTGCACAACGACGTCAGAACAAGTCAGGTCCATCATTGAGAACTTCTCACATCTTCTCAGGCTCAGCAAGGCTTTAGGTCAATCATAAGAAGTTCTTGTAGACTTCGCTCAAGTACGAAACACCTCCCAACACAAGCCTTTGTGAAATCTCTTCACATTCTGCCCATCAACCCTGTCCTGACCCTGAGGATCATAGCTCCTGACACTCAAAGCACAAAGGTGATGTGCGAAGACGGGAAGCATGGCATCAGGTCGTGTTATCATCGGCCGCAACGTCTATCACAGAGCAAAGGCGTGGATAGTGACGAATCAATCTATGATGAGTTTGCAACTGCGACCCTCATTTGATTCCTCTTGCCTTCCCGTTACAAGACGTCTTTCCACTTGTAAGTCTCACCCTAGCACACTTGAACTGGTGGTGTACCTGCAAGCTTATCAACCTTGGGGTTGTGGTCAGGGCACAACATGTCCCAAAGAAAAAATCACTTCTCAAAATGTTCCATATTCAAGAGCTGAAGAGCACTGCCATCGTCTCTTCCTTCAGCCATTGAATTCGATTTTTTGGGCACTTTCTGGGTGCCGTTTTCCACCGAAAGGGGGGATCATAGATCATAGGTGAGTTCATATAGCCAATCCAGGACTTTCTGCTCAGTTCGTTTGCTCAGATCGTTCACCTGCACAGCACGTGGGGAAAAAAGGCAGCACCGCAGCACCTCACTAAAACTTAGGATTTGCAACATCGACCCCGGAGAGGTTAACAGTGCTCTTTGGCATTTTGGAAGGGAAGCCACTGGCTTATACCCTCAAGTTTGAAATGCCCTTTTTGATGCAATGTGGGGTTCTACTGAAGAGATATGCACGGGGCCCTCAAATACAAAGTACCTAGCTTCGCCAAGGAACTCCATAGAAGATCATTTGCCCAGCGGAACCCGGATCCACCATGACAAGGGAGTGGAGCGTCCGATGGTTTGGCGCCCCATGGTAGATATAGAACGAGCATGAAAGGTATACAGGACGTAGGTACAACAAAACAGTACTTCGAAGGAGAAATGATCGCGTTCAAGACACGTCTAGACTGGCATGACTCAAACTTGGGCCTGTGAATATACTTTGAGTCATCACCTCTGTTCACCCCACTGATGGAAACATGGTTATCGGTGATCCCTATCAGTCGTCCCGCGATTAGATGGAGCCTAGGGGCCTAGCCACAAGGTGAAGAAACAGGCTCTGGCGAGCTGCGCTTATTTGAAGGGAGTGCGAAGGATATCGAACTTCTGCAACCTACTTTGTATCACAGGGGAGTAAGGTGCCTGAAGACAAAAACAACAGTTTCCAGCATGCAAAGCATTCAAGAGAATGACCCAGAGTTTTCCACCTTCAGATTGGTTCCTGGAACCAGATCTCACAAATGTCAACCAAAAATCTTGGAAGGATCATGTTGATACCGAAGGCCACGCCATCCCATTTCCCCCTCAAAGGCCGCCCGACCCCATGGACCAAACATCTGAAAGCTCGTTCCAGCCCATCGAGAGAATCACCTCCCCAGCTCGGGGTCAAAGGTTGACCAAATCTCGGAGGGCCACCAACTGAAGTGGTGTGACTTGCTGCAAATGAAGGGAACGCATGATTTCTGGCAATTGCACGCAACTAAAAATCTTCGTTTTTGTTGCTCAACAAATGTGGTCAGGAAACGGTTTACAATGGTTTACACATACCTCCATGCAAGATCAAACCCACGAGGTATATTGGCAGTAGAACCGAGCTGCCAATAGTTTTTATTCAATTTCAAACACGATCCCAGTACCATCTTTGATCATCTTGGGACAGAAATCATCTTGCTGATGTGTCCCAAAACAAGGGATACCCAAGCCCAAAACACAAGGACCCCATACTTCCCGGCGGTTCAGTGGGGCAGGGACGCTCACTTAAACCACAACAAGCAACAGCAGCAACGTCCTCCAATAGCCCGCCTCAGGACCTCTGTATTGTCTCGTGTTGATGATGGAGGAATGATGCTCATCTTCGTACCTTTCCAGGAAAATGATGTCTGTCTCTTGTAAGGAGAATGTGTTGTTTCCAAGAAGAGGGGACCCCCCAAAATCCACCCAGGTGGAATATTATATTAGAGGTAGAAGAATGTCTGGCATGGCCCTGGGTGTGTCATTTCTGGACAGACTAATTGTCCCAGCTAATCAAGGATTTGTCCGTTTTCCTATGACTAGGACCTTGGTCAGTAGCTCAATATCACAGTTGTGTACACACAGCAAATATCCAATTGCAGCTATCAGCCAAAAAAGAATTGAGGATATCCCTGCACTTATCTTGCTGAAGAATTTTCAACATTTTTGGGTTTCCCTCCCCAAGCGTCGGTCACGTGGCATTGCCAAAGTCAATCAGCTTAATGTCAGCGCTCACAGGTCGAAAATACCTGAAGCTTGGCAATTTGGAACCATGCCAGCAAGCTCTGCGAATATGTCTGGAATCAAACAAAATTATATGTAAATGAGTCTCCACCACATCTGAGCCTGAGAATTTCGTTCAATTACGTACGTATGTATGTATGTATGTATGTATGTATGTATGTATGTGTGTATGTATGTATGTATGTGCGTATGTATGTATGTGCGTCTGTATGTATGTATGTATGTATGTACGTACGTACGTACGTACGTATGTATGTATGTATGTATGTGCGTATGTATGTATGTGCGTCTGTATGTATGTATGTACGTACGTACGTACGTACGTACGTATGTATGTATGTATGTGCGTATGTATGTATGTGCGTCTGTATGTATGTATGTATGTATGTAGGTAGGTAGGTAGGTAGGTAGGTAGGTAGATATGTAGGTATGTTGGTATGTTGGTATTATGGCATGGCGTGGCCTGGCATGGCATGGCAAGGTATGGTATGTGACAATGTAATGCAATGTAATGTAATGTTATGTAATGTTATGTTATGTATGTGTGCGTGCGTCTGTCTGCCTGTCTGTCTGTCTGTCGGTCGGTCTGTCTGTCTGTCTGTCTGTATCTATCTATCTATCTATCTATCTATGTATGTATGTATGTACGTAGGTATGTATGTATGTATGTATGTATGCATGCATGTATGTATGTATGTATGTACCTATGTACCTATGTACCTATGTACCTATGTACCTATGTACCTATGTACCTATGTACCTATGTACCTATGTACCTATGTACCTATGTACCTATGTACCTATGTACCTATGTACCTATGTACCTATGTACCTATGTACCTATGTACCTATGTACCTATGTACCTATGTACCTGTGTACCTATGTACCTATGTAACTATGTACCTATGTACCTATGTACCTATGTACCTATGTACCTATGTACCTATGTACCTATGTACCTATGTACCTATGTACCTATGTACCTATGTACGTATGTACGTATGTACGTATGTACCTATGTACGAGTGAATGTATGTTAACTGCAAACAGCCTAAAATCATAAATACATATACGCGCACACACACTAGACAAGAATGGATCATTATATGATCCGGCAGGAACTGAATCCTGAAACATGCAAACCAGCCTAGATCGTTAGATTTATAAAGGAGCCTCATGAGGTACTTCTCGAAAACGATGTAAGGTATCCGATATTGTCAAACGGAGTTTTAACCAGAGTCCACAAAGTTTTGACCAGCAAGTTGAAAATCCAAAATAATAATGTTTCGGCGATGGATTCCCAAAATAACCCAAAGTTCATCGGCGACATGATCTCGGCGAAATAATCCAAAAAATCAAGAATACTGTCGGCGACATGGTTTCGGCGAAAATCTGAGGAAGGTTCTGATGCAGTTTAAATAACCGTAAATGACCAAATTTGATTCCAGATTGCGACAACCGTGAAGTGAAAAAACATCTGTGCGGTTTTAGGCTTGGCCGCTTGCCATGTCGGAAATTGATATCGAAACTGCAGGTACGTCCAGGTGATCAGCCTGGATATCCTCAGGACACCATAGAGAGCTTCGTTGGGCACAGCTCTATGGGCCTTCTGTGCCCCCCTGCAAATGTGAAAAAATTAGAGCCATAGAAGTTCCCTTGCAAATGTGAAAAAATAGGGCAATAGAAGTTTTACATCTGTTCAGATGTTACACACACACACCCCGCGTGTAGCGGGGTTTGATTTTTGGAAGAACATCGCTGCAAATGTCGGCAAGATCATTCAAATACAAAGGCTTTCCGGTGCTAATGTACAGAGCCGCGTTCAGTCACTCAGAAGGGAGGTTCGCCTCAGCTTGTAGTGTTTGGATCGCGTCACGGAAGCTCATGTCTTCAACCATCCTCCACGTGTCGTTGATTTCCCCAGACGCCATAGCAGCCGTCAAAGTGGTTGAAAGTTGTTTGGCCAGGTCCTGGATCTTCGGAGTGAAGCGGGTTGCCTCCGTAGGTGTAGTGGTCTCAATGGGACATTGTGAAAAGGATGATGTCCATGTACTAGAGGAATCTCAAAGTGATGTCGCCAATAATCCGCTGTGCGCAGGGACCACTCCCAGTTGCCCGAAAGACCATAAAAGTAGTGCTCGGGGTCACGACATTTGGAGAGCCCTGACATGGGGATCTCTTCGATGAATAACTCCCTGGTATTGTTGGAGTGGGTAATGATCTTGAATTGGATCTGGTGGACCACGCGGGATGAGAAGTGAGCACGATGGAGGTAGTGGTATGCAGGATTTGGCTCCGTCGGAAAAGGAACATCAGGAGGTGCACAGCCTGAATATGTATCAGCATGGGGCGTAGTTCCGAGGTCGGTAGTTGTACTGTCAGCTGCCGAAGGTGCCGAAGTGGTCCCGATAGTAGGGTCAGGGATGCTAGAATGACATAGTGCAGAAGTCTGGGCGTCTGGTGCTTGGTCTGGGTTGGTGGTAGCGAGTCCACGGTTGGGATTCGAAGGCCAAGCCAAGCCCGCCACGGTAGCGTCTCGTTTATGCTCCATGGGTGAAACGATCAGAAATGCGTGAAATGGTGCGACAAAGGCTGAGGCATCAGGAAATTGCAAACATAAGACAAGCCAGAGAATAATAATAATGATAATAATGATAATAGTGAAGTCCAGTCATCAATCAAATTGTTCAAGGTCCACGGAAAGGACAAAGCCCAAAGCCTAACCAGGTGAAATCCAAAGAATCCTTCGGGTTAATAAAGTGTCATAGGTGCAACGAAAAGAACAGTCGAGCATGGTCTTTTTTGGCCAGCGAGCGCATCAGGGTAGGATCACACCGGGGCTAACTTTGTGGCATCGCAGACGTAGCACAAAAGGCTGTGAGGTACCCGGAATGAGCAAAGAGGATTCGATGTAGTTGTACTGTCGGAGTCGCCATTCGGGTCGGTATTCCTCCAAAAGCTGCATGATCGTCATATCATTGGGGACTTGGAATGTATCACCTTCCAGGTCGCAATAGCGAAACTCCAAATTCGAAGGGTCAAGTTGGATGTCCCATTGGGTCCTCAATCTTTTTGAAATACAGAAACGAAGTTCTCCAGTGGGGAGGAGGCCGGCTTCAACTGGTTCCATCTGACGCGACCAGGTAAACAGAGCTTCAAGTTCGTAGCCACTAACATTTTTGAAATTTGAACTAGCCAAAGCCATGTAGTGTTCACGGTCAGGTTCGCTGCGATGAGTCAGTTCCTGTAAGGGAGAGTAGTCAATCAAGATCAGAACAGGTCGGTTTGGAGGAGGGTTCACGTGACCAGGAAGGCCTCGGGGTCCAGCAAGCCATCCAACATTTCGGGTACCTAGTGGTGTCTCAACCGTGGATGTAGCGCGATATGGATGGGGGCGAGAAGAATGAGCCATGGCGTCGAGTGTCGAGTATAAAGCGGAAAGCCCAAGCTGCAACATAGAATGATAATGACCAAGGAATAAAGCCCAAAAATTGAAAAATGGATGGAAACGGTGTACCTAGTGAGTAGTCACAAATCGACGTGTAGTCGCTGTTCTTTTTCGATGCCGCCAAATACTGTGGTGTATTACACACTGGAGTCAGACATGTCCATCGGGCCAGTGTCGTTCGCATCCAGTGGACCATGTACTTGTTGAGGGGGGACGGTAGGGCGATTGAGATGTAAGGTCTGGTGCAATGTTGCCGATGGTGAAGGAGGTGGTGTAGACCGCCATGGTGGCCAAGATAAAGAGGTGGTGGTTCCTTGAGAGTGGTGTTGGGCAGAACGTCCCCAGCATGACTGTAAAATATGGAGTTGGTCCGGTATCGCTTCGTACGGTTGAGAGACGTAGACGTTGGCATGTTCAGGGTGTGGGAGAATAGGAACAGCAGTTGCCGTAGGAGAGGAGGATGATTGGATTGGTACATCATAGTATCGGCGCCAATGGTTAGCCGTAGTACGTAGGGTAGCACGATCGTTGGTGAGGTGCATGTTCTCAAGAAATGTTTCCACTGGCTTCCACGTTTCAATACCATCAAGTGTCCTTTCCACGATCCAAAGTTCATCCGGACGAGTAGACAAAGGATAGCTCAGCTTTTTGATGAATACGGAATGGACGGTTGTAGAGGTTGGGATCATTCGCGCTGCCCTGGGAATATACGATGCCGAAGTAGGATCATCAGGTGGGAGATGTGGGACTGGGCCATGTACGGATGTAGGTGAGGAACGGTGTGAGACCAATCGAGCAGCATCATCCGTGTTGGAGGTCGTCATGTACAGTAGCAATAATATGATATCGAGAAACACTGAACTGAAGCCGAAAAGCCGTGGGGAAAGGTCAATGAAGAAAAATCGAACAACGAACATCACAATGAGGAAAGGTGAGAAGCAAGGGAGACAAAAAAAACCAAAACCGGGGTGGAGGACATCATGACGAGTGCTTTTTCTTTTCCTCATAGACGTGAGCATCTCCAGGATCTATCTCAAAAGCTAATCACTCGGCCGCTTTGGTGTATCGGGTGGCCGTGACGAATGGATGCCCGCGGGGAATCGCTTGAACATGGACAGCGAAGCCTGTGTCTTGTGGATCTGGATGGGGCGTCAGCAACAAAGGTGAACACTCACGGGTCGTGAAGGCATCGAGATGTTGATGAGTTTTCCATGTCGGGTAGAACCAGTTCAAAACGTCCAGGAGAGAATGAGGGAGGTCGTCAAGCATCTGAGCTCCTTGATCGGTGTCAATCATCATGTAGAAATCTGTCGCTGGTAGGTGTATCGACCATCGTTGTAACAGCGTGTCGGTAACCACGGTTTTGAGGTCTGAAACGAAATGACTGCGAGCATAATCCGGGTAGATCACCTTGAACGTCTGGAACAGGCTGTCATAGACGGCCGTGGAGAGGTTGCCCGCGACCTTGGGGGCCAGGATGTTGTAGTATGGGTTGCGGACGGCAAGTTGCTGCATCGGCTTCAGGTCCAATTGGAAAATAACCGGTCGATGGGGTG